AATGAGGGTATCAGATATCATAGGAAATGCAAAGACAGCACGGAGAAGGTGCATTTATGGGGCACTACATCTGTGCATCAGCATCCTAATGAAAACAATCTTCATTCCTGAGCAATCAGGACCCGCAAGGCATAGAATAGGCCACGCACTGCAGAGTCGCGCGCGAGAGTGGCCAGCGTTGCCGTGGAAACCGAATACTCAGCATGTAGATAATGTGATCTATCGATGCCATCTGGAAAAGATTGGGCCTTGGTGCCGTAACTGCCTCTCTACCGATATAGGAGGGGGATCCATTACCATATTTATTTGTGCTGCTAAACTTAGTCCTTGAATGGGATTATGTAGTGGCGGATTGAGAGTATATCCTAAACAAACACGTATATTAAAGCAGGATTTGGAGTATAGCCTGAACAATAATGGATTTACAAGACAAGAGTGTTTCGCTCCCTTTTTCACAAGCTCTCCATTTTTCAAAAATTGAATCCAGACTTTTGGGGGGTGAGTCTTTTTGCTATGAGAGCAGTGAGGGGGTGGGATCTGGCCATGGTATTTATCATATTTGAAAAATCTAGTTTGATGGGGGAGGGGGACGAAGAGTCAAGCGACGCTACTCCATCAAACTCGCAGTCTTGGACAGAGAATCATACATGAGTTGCTTGAGGCACAAACATGAGGTCCCGCTCCAGCTCTGTAAAAATGGTAACTGGTGTCATCCAGCTTATTTTTCGACGAATGCAAGACTCTTCCTTTGCCCTTCCAGTCATGTCCTGATGAAGCAGCAGTCCATGTGTTCAAAGTAAGGACTGGTGAAGTGGTCTGGCCCACAGACTGACAGCAGCCTTGAAAGTGAGTTTACAGTGAGCTCACTTTATCTACTGTTCAGACTGCTTTTCCCATTTAGATTCCCTCCTGAAATCCTCGCCTCCTTTCAGTGTCACAAAATAACAGATTCTCCATCCCTTGACCTCTGTTTTTATCTAGTTCACCCTCTGTGCAGATAAACTTAACGTACTCATGAAGTCAAGAGTGATGAGTGGTCACACAACAGAGACAGAGGTGAACAAATGTCCTCTCTGAAACACTTCTCAAATTATAACTTTCAAATTTGGCTCTAAAATAGCCTACACATGGAACACAATACTTTGTATTTGGGATCATTCCTCTTTTTTTTTTCTTTATGAGGTTAACAAAATACACACACATCTATATATGTTTTCAACATTGATAGTGATAAAAAAAAAATCTTGAGCAGCAAATCAGCGCATTTGAGTGATCTGAAGGATCATGATGTTACCCTGACACTGGAGTAATGATGCAATAGAAAAGGATGCCTATTATGTCCTTTAGCTGCTTAGGAGTGTCTGTGACATTAGTCACTTTCTGTTTAGTAAAATTTGTTAATTTGCTGTGCATTTTCAGTGCTTTGGCCAGTAATTAAGGCAGTACTTCCTTATCATGGCATGCTTGTTTTTCACAGACTTCTGTCCAGTAAGTCCCTACATATTGTATATCTAAGCCAATTAGGACCAGGTGATGGGAAAACCAGAGAGGATCCGGAGATCCTGCTGAGGAGAGATAAGAAAATGATGGATGATAGACAAACACCTGCTCCTGTCATCATTAAAACAAACATCTTCCTTTGAGGGGGAGGGGGGAGGGGGGGGGAGGGGGGGGGGGGGGGGGGGGGAGGGGGGGAGGGGGGGGGAGGGGGGGGGGGGGGGGGGAGGGGGGGAGGGGGGGGGGTATAGCATAGTCTGTCAAAGGCTTCTTTCTCTCTTGTTCTTTGTATTTCCCTCTCTTTTTCTCATCATCTGGTATTGATATTTCTTTCTCTGTCCTCAACTTACCTATCAGATGTGAGTAGTGAGGGTTGTAGAGCAGATTTTTAAAACTGTGTGTCTAGGACATTATACCCATTTATACACAAATACACATTTGAAAGGATGAAGCGTATAAAAATGCAAAAAAATAAGTATTTTTGTTTTGAATAATATTTCATTCGGATACCTGTACTGATAATGGAGAAGAGAAGTATGTTCTGAATGGGAAAAGTGGCGCCAATTAGGGCCTCTTGCGGGCCAAGAGGAAGTGGGGCTGCCAGGTCTCCTTTCCCCTGCGATCCTTCACCCTGAAATGGCTGGCCGGGACCTCCCCGGGGTAGGCCACCTCCCCTGGAGCTCCCAGGGTGTGAGATGCCAAGTCCAATCTCTCTGCCCTGTAGCCAGAGGACAGTAGAGAAGATAGGGGTGTCATGCTGCTGTTTCTTCTGTCTTAAAGCTGCAGTCCGTAGCTTTTCCTCTTTGTCGCCATCTCTCTGTTCGAAATCTGTAACTGCAGTGATTCGCGGAATTATCATCTTTACGTGGGTTGTAAATCGCCATGAAACAGCGCGGATGAACACAGTGTTTTGAGGCGAGTGGTGCTGTCAGTCACCGCGCTGTGTGGATACTGTCATACAGAATCACAGATTCACTTTTTGAAAGTTTGACCAACATAAAAATTTTCATAAGAAAATGTCTTCTGAACAAGTAAGTAACATCCATTTTTGTTCTGACCAACTAAGGGGGAAAAAGCATTCGACATGATAAGCTTCGTTAGATTTAATCAACGCGATTTACAGCAACCGTGCAAATTATAGCCTACTTTGTTCTCAAATTGTTCATGTTAACAACATCACATCAGCATTGCGTGAATAATGTTAAATTTAATGTGTTTTATGGTTACCTGTGTAGTTCAGAATTCATATTCTCCATAATAGCAAAACGAGAAAGGCACAACAAAGGAAACTCCATAACTGTGAATTAAGAAAACGTACTGTTACACAATTTAACTAATTTGAAATGTCTTAACTTACTTGTTCAGCAGAAAAAAGCCGTCACTTCTTCCGTTTTGAACCCTTCAAAACACGGAGTTCACGCACTTTTCAAAAGCCCCGCCGATGTTTAAATCCTTGTGTTCGCATGAGACGGTTTCTTTCTCTTTCTCTAGCCACCTTAAATCCGAAGTAGGCTACGAAGTCTTTTGGGTTTTATAACTGCTGAATCTCCAGTTGACACTGATGATTGCTGTTTGGATCTTTCTGGATGCCATAAGTTTAATTATGTAAAGTGCTGCGAGAAAAGCCTATACATCTAAACATCTCGTCGCGCGCAGTATAGCCGGCTAGCCGAAACTCCTTCTTTACAGTGGGTACTCAACCAGAATAATACTTTTACCTTACAGGTATGTGTACGCAGGGCCGTATTAAGACAGTGTGGTGCCCCTGGGCACTATACCTCAAAAGGCCCCCTATATTCAAATGTGTCAATTAAAAATGTACATAAATTAATTGACAGCGTTAATTCACGTTTGCCCAAAAATAATAATAAATCTATCAGGTTTCTTACCTCTACAGGCATGAAAAGGGGTCAGGGGTGAAAAAGGTGAGAAGGATATTACCCCTCTAGGGGGGTCCGGGGGCATGTCCCCCCGGAAGAATTTTTTTAAATATTCCATATTTTATAGCATCAATCTGATGCATTTTGAGATGCATTTTTTTTGCCAACCTGGGGAGAGTTGGAGAAACTTAACTTCAGCCATGAGTCAAAAATATTATGGCCTCCGTAGCGTTAGCTAATAATTTCCCACCAGAGCTTTAGCTAGCTGGCTAATGTTGCGTTCTCTCCTGATGTGTTCAACTCAATTCATCAAGCTGTAACTAACGTTAGCAAAGCCTATGTCAACAGAGCTCCTGGGTAACTTAGATATAGCCTACCAGAAAATATTAGGGATGTCCCGATACCATTTCTTCTGAACCGATCCAATCCGATACCAAAAAGTCTGAGTATTGAATTATACCGATCCGATACCAGCGCAGTTAAAAATAAAAATAAAAAAATCAAGTAGAATTTCTATAACTCTGTGTGTTGAACTGATAATCACTATTTTCTGTTAAACACAATCTACTTAATACAGACAACTTCATTATAAAGAAAAACAACAAATAAAAAAAAATATGATCATAACCTACACAGTAAAAAATGGGGTGTTAATATTTCAGAGTAAACATATTTTAACCCAGATAGAGTATTTTCAACATTTTGGAGAGTAAAGTTGCTCTATCAGTGGAGTTAAAAGTGAGTGTAAAAAAATCTGTAGAAACGCAGCAATTTCAACTCTACAGCAGTGATGAATACCCGCCACTCTGCTGTGCTGAAGTTTGGCACGTATGTCGGTGGAGGAAGATTGCGATTGAGCGTTATACGACTGATATACTAGGTAAGTAAAGTTAACATCCCTGTGTTGCCAACACCAAAACGGTGTTTTTTTAACATTACATCATTTTAGAGTTTTGCTGATATTAGTTAAGGGTCATCATATTACAAGTAAGGTTATAACCAGCTATAGCAATCCGTGTCGGTAACTGTTTCTATAGCAATCCGTGTCAGTAATGTGTTGCAATATTTTCACGATTGAAGTTGGTCGGAACGATTTGCGTAAAATAACGTTAGCTAGGTCGCCATAACAACAAAAGATTTAATAGAGTTAATAGCTTTTCTTAGCTAACGTATTTTTTTTAGCTTCCCAGGCAACGTTAATCTGTTTTTTTTTATATAACGTTACTGGTAATATTAGCAATTGAATGCTTCTGATAGTTAATGTTGGTCTTATGAAACGATAACTTAGATCACTGATTGCATGACGTGTTTGTTTAACATAGCTATTTTAATGGGTTAACGTTGTTCGAACTAAAATATCTAATGAGCTAGCTAACTTTGGCACAGTTATTTGGTAGCTAATGGGACACCGTACGTGCCTCTAAACTTTAACTAGCCTAAACCTATTTGCTGCAGAAAATAGCCTAACGTTATATTCAACCAGCACAACTTTGTCTTCTTCAGCCGCCCTTTGTATTTGCAGTGTATATCTAAGTAATGCGAAGTGCATTGCCACTACTGAGAGAAATGGATAAGTAACTTTTAGTTGAACCAGCCCTGAATGATGATTTTGAATATATATATTTTCTTTGTTAACAGGGGCAAAATGCTGTTGCGTGTTCAATTCGGCGAAGAGCAGAAATACGTCAAGCTGTCTGAGCTGACATTCGATGCTTTCTTGAAAGAAGGTGGGTACATTAGGTTAACGCAATATACATCACCCAATTACAAAATAATAAAGCATTAACCTATTATGTTATGATATAGTTAGGTCAATAATCATGTGTGTTCAAAATCGGGTGCAGATACTTGTCTTTCATCTTTTTGTGAATACAAACTTAAATATGACCTTCTGATTCTTGTGACAAGGGAATGCATGTTTTTTTTTAATAAACTTTTTTAAACAGCATGTCTAAAATTCAACATACCAGAAAGCAGGCAGCCAGACATTAAGGTTTATGACCAGTCAGACACAGAAGTTGACACAGAGGTTTTTGAAGAAATAGTGAAGGAGTCACCTGGAACTTTCAGAATCATGCTGGGCAATGGAGGACTTGGTATTCATTCAGACAATTCACAAATTATTTTGTTTAGTTTAAAGGCCGGAATGAGAATATTTATTGTCTTAAAAATAACTGATTCTTGTAATATGTTTATATTTTGTACAAATTTCATAATGAACAGGTGCCTCTCAATCATCATCATGCTCGGGTACATCTGATGACACCGTCATCCTGAATTTAATGATGTGTGACCCTGTTGAAGAAGTAGCCGCTGACGAAGGAAGCCAGCCTAAAAGGCCATGCCACATAAACTACGAGGCAAAAGCGGTAAGTGGTGGAAATTGCTGTTAAGTCCAATCTGAATGTTGTTTCACATGCATTACATATGGTTTCACAATAACGGAAAGCACATTTTATTCCACCTATAGTTGATTGAAAAAATCCTAACATCAAAGCCTGGTGGTGAACGCATTATGCAAGAGTATGGAAAAACCAAATCTCTGACAGATGCCACCAGAAGACAGATGATTAACATACTTGCTGCTGAGATGACAGAAACACATGGGTAAGCATTAAGGGGCTGTAAAGAAACATTGTTATTATTTTACAGTTATTAATTATGTAAATTGTTTTGTGCAATGTCAATTGAAGTATGATGTTTGAATTCATTTGCTAGGACATCCCCCCCCAAAAGTGTCAGAGTGATGTATGCACAGGGGATAGTAGCTTTGTTTCCCTATCTAGAAGACCCATACTCACAACATGGATATGTAAGTAAATGGGTTATTGCAACATTATGCACATATTCACTCTTTGAAATGTTAATAGTACTCCTTTATAATTTATTTATAATCACATAGGAACATTACTACGATCCGGAGAGTGGTTCGGGATACCTTGCATGGCGATTGAAGACCATACAAAGAAAAACAGCAGAGGAAAGAGGTGCCTCAGTCAGCAAATCTCCTAAAGATATGTTTACTGATCAGTGACATGTGATTATAATGGTGACCTGTGAATTGTACAGAAATTAGTTCTTAACATTGTATTTTGTCTTAAGTTGGTGGGCCAGGCCGTGGTCGTCAGCCCTTCACCTATGACAGAGAGCTATCTGATGAGGATGTGGAAGCAGCTATTGCTGTTTTGAGACACTCTGCTGATGAAAAGACTGTCCGTGAGAAGATGAAAATGACCTTCATTTATCGGCAAGCAATGGTCAACGATGAAGCCAAATCATCAGATGTCTTCTTGGTCTTTCCACGATTTCTGGACACACCAGGACTGGTATGACATCTTAATAATTCACTGCATCACCAAAATATCCAATGTAGCATTAGGTATCACTCATCACTTCTGTCTATGTGTTACATTGCAGATAGAACAAGATTTCAGACTTCTGTTTGGTGAGGCCACGGCCAACAAATTCTTGGAGAAGTGGCCAACCACTTTCAAAGCAAAAGTAATAAAGGAAAGCCATGGACTTGTACCCACCACAGAACTCTTGGATTTAATGCGCAATGCTGAGTCAGCTGCTGAAGTTGAGAATGGTATGAATGGAACCGTTTTACTTTTTATTGTGGGAAATGTAGGTGTGTAGTGTACGTTTTCGTATTGGTGCAAGTTGTCAATTTGAATGCTATGCTATGGTATAATGTTAACCAGGTTTTTATTTACTTATTTTTAGGCTGGGACAGTGACATGTCTGCCATCTTGCTGCTGCTACATTTGCTACCACCATCTGCACAAGGTAGAAAGAGGCCGGGAAAGCTGTCTGCATATCAAGCTGTAGATCAGCTCATCAGATTTCAAAAGGTATGCTTAAAGGATTAGTTCACTTCTAAAAAAAATTTTGCTGATTATTTACTAACCCCCATGTCATCCAAGAGGTCCATGTCTTTCTTTCTTCAGTCGAAAAGAAATTAAGGTTTGAGGAAAACTTTCCATGATTTTTCTCCATATAATGGACTTCCATGGTGACCAACGGTTTGAGGGTTCAAATGAGGGTTCAAAGTCTGTCTCAATGCAGCTTCAAAGTCTCGACATGATCCCAGTAGAGAAATAAGGTTCTTATCTAGCGAAACGATCGGTCGTTTTCAAAATCAAAATAAAAATAATATACTTTTTAACCACAATTGTACGTGTTGTAGAATCTCAAGATCCGCCACGCATTACGTCATGACGTCGGAAAGGTCACGCGGGACATAGATGTAAGCCGGTTCAAAAAGGTAGGGAAGCGTGAAAAACTCAATCTCATTTTCTCCTTTACTTTCAAAATCGTCCGACATCATTGTTTATTATTTATTAATATATTTTTTTTGTAAAGGGCGTTTATATTAGTCTTTGCCGCCTACGTCCCACGTGACCTTTCCGACGTCATGACGTAATGTGTGGCGGATCTTGAGATTCTACAACACGTACAATTGTGGTTAAAAAGTATATTATTTTTATTTTTATTTTGAAAACGACCGATCGTTTCGCTAGATAAGAACCTTATTTCTCTGCTGGGATCATGTCGAGACTTTGAAGCTGCATTGAGACAGACTTTGAACCCTCATTTGAACCCTCAAACCGTTGGTCACCATGGAAGTCCATTATATGGAGAAAAATCATGGAATGTTTTCCTCAAACCTTAATTTCTTTTCGACTGAAGAAAGAAAGACATGAACATCTTGGATGACATGGGGGTTAGTAAATTATCAGCAAATAATGTTTTCAAAGTGAACTAATCCTTTAACAGTTGTTTAAAATATATCTTCCATCACCTCAATCTTGTGCACAGTTTGAGGTGATCTGATCTATTGTCAGAAGTTAGTCACCAAAACAATTCTGTTAAATGTGTTTTGTTGTAGGTTGGAACCAGTGTGCAGCAGCATCTAGACAACATCACCCAAAGCAGTCAGCCCTACCTTCTCGCCCAGGGATCCACACAGAGCACCATTCACTCCTACTTCATTGTGGTTGACAAGCATGCACTTCCATGCAAGGCAAAAGGTTCAGTTGGCGCTTTTGACGAACTCTTTAAAGCCCATTACGTCTTTGGTACGTCATACAGTTCTTCCCTGAGCAGCTTTTTCACTTTTGTGCAAACAACCATCTATAACATCGACATGGGGGAAACAAAGGAGACTCCTAGAGTTGCGGAGTTGCGAGCAAGAATGGTGCGTTAGTTGAGATACAACTATGAAGTGTTTTCTTTGCAAAAGTGACCATGGAAGTCCAAACAACCTTGTTAAGCACTTTAAGGTACTTCATGGGCTATGTACAGGCAGGACTCTTTTTTTGAATTGTGGTCCAGAAGGATGCTCACGTTCTTTTGGTAGTTTTTCTGGTTTAAGAAAGCATCTCAATTTGTGCCATGGAAGCAGTTTAGTTGATTCTGTGCAAAATATGATCTTTCATATCCTCAAAGTACCGTTAATACAAGTAATGTTTCTCATGTTGAAGAGTCGACTGAACATTTAGAGGCTGAGTCACAGTTATCTTCGCCATACATTGTTAATAGTCGTTCAGCTGTAATTTCTGATCTAAAGGCAGCAGGTGTTGCTCAAAGTACACTGAATTCTGTAATAATTTTCGTGGAAGAGATCTTGCTTTCTCTGGTAAACATTTTTATGATGAAGATATACATGTTTCTGTCAGAGACAAGGCAATGGGTTTGCAATGTAAAATCCTGTCTTATTTTTTGTTACAATAAATGGTGAGTGCTGTGATCTATTGTGCTTGTTTTCATTTGATACTAGTTGATAGTTCTATAATTCAGTAACACTGCATCTTATGATTTTATATTTTTTTTAAACACTAGAGAAATGAAAAGTAAATATTACACTTGAAAAGTGTCATTTTTTTAAAAGTAAAATTGTTGTTAAATTAACTCTATACAGTGTAATCATATTACTCTTAACAGTGCAATTAAACTACAGTGTTAAATACTTTTACACATTTCATTGTTCTTTTTTACACAATATTGAGTAGAATTAACTCTAAAAACTTGACACTGACCAAAGAGTAAATTTTACACTGATTTCGAGTGGGACCAAATGTTATCTGAAACAGAGTCAAATTCAACTCTATAGGAGTTAAATTAACACTTCTATTTTTACTGTGTATGACAAAAATTCTATTATATAAACTAGATTAGTGGGTAACTCAGCAGTAAAATTTAGTCTAGAAAAATCACAAGTGCACAATAATTGTATAAAATCGAACATTTAGTGGAAAAAAAAACATTATTTAGTGAGGAACAAATAAGAGACAATAAGTGTAGCACTAAATCTGGTAAAACGTTTTCATGTATTAAGTTTAGCAGAACTGCTCCTTCCTTGATTTTGCGCAAGCAAAGGTGTCAACTACATCCCCAAAGTCCATTTCTTTGTTACCGTCTCCACAGTTAGCTCCGGCTTCGTCAGACTCAGCGCTGCTAGTGATCGCAATTCCCGTGATGTTCTCACAAAAAATCTTTCGATACCTGGAACATTGTGAATTGTAGCTACGTCTAGCGTCCTTGTCTTTCTTTAACTTTCTTTTTGCAAAACCACTCAATTGACGTCTGTCCTTTAACTTTCTTTTTGCAAAACCACTCAATTGACGTCTGTCCAGTTTTGATTTTAATTCATTTTTTTGTAGCCGTTAAAAAAATGACACATTTGCACGTATTTGTTGTGGACCAACGCAACTCTGACAGATTGGGGAGGGGGGAGTGATAGTGGTCATGTAATCTTTATTTATTTATAATTTATTATTAAATCATTATTGTTATTATTATTGTTAAATTGGTGTTCATAAACGATTTATTTATGGTCTGTCAAGAATTCCAAGTTAATAATATAACAATTTACGAAAAACATTTTTAATGCTTGACTCATGTGGTGCCCCCCTAGTGGTTGTGAATGGTTGGTGCCCCTGGGCACTGGCCCAAGTGCCCTTATGGATAATCCGGCTGTGTGTACGGGTGTGACGTAATGACGCAAAGACATGCTCGAATTTCCCGCGGAAACCCACCAGTCCAGTACCACTGGAATTAAAATCATTATTACAAGCTAACCGTTTTGAATCTAGCTATGGCAAGCAGATAGTTTTGACCACTGGCAGAATAAGTTTTTTTTTATATAATTATTTTGGATTATTTTTAACTTAAAAAAGCTACGGACTGCAGCTTTAAGTTACATGCAAACCTGTTCATTTGGCATCCTTTTGTAGAGCCATAAGGTAGGCTGGGGAAATTATTTTGTTATTGTCAAATGACATATAAAAGATATGTAAAGGCATCTGGGGGTTGCAACCATATATGGTAACTGCAAAGGGAAAAAATACATACATTCAGGGTTCTAAATTAACTTTTTTGATCACCAGCCAATGTGGCTGGTAACTTTCTAAAGTTACCAGCCAATCAGAATTTCCACTAGCCAAATTTTTTTCCGGTGAAAATAAGAGAAATTATGAGTGCCACTGAATGCATTTGATCATTTTATTAACATTGTTGGCATGAAAAACACATATAAAGTACAATACAACACAGAAAGTGCAAACATTTCATTTCAAGTTTGGTATCTATCTATCTATCTATCTATCTATCTATCTATCTATCTATCTATCTATTTGGGATGTGCACGAATATTCAAATTTTCGATCTGTAATTCAAAAAATAAAATACTATTCGAATTTTTTTTTCTTTTTTTTCCCAGTTATAATTAAATGGAGTGGAGCGTGTTTAGCAAGTGGATTGTATTTGATCACATAATGTCGTTGTCTGCCTCACGAAGTTTGGAATTACTTTGATGAAAATTATAGCCTATTACAAAATGGAATTACTTTTAATCAATTATTAATTAAACTGAGTTATCATAATATCACCACCACAATATATAGGCCTATGAGAAATCACATGAAATACAAAGAAACACCAGTCGACTGAGGAAGCAGCTGTCCATCACTGCATTAACGACTGCAGGACAGCATCAGCTGTACCCCAAGGGAATCATGATCCGAGATGATATCTTCTGGTAGCAAAATGATTTTGAGACATATGCTTCCTTTAAATTTCGTTGAGGGAGACAGGTTTAAGAACAGAAAACGCAAAGTGCGGTTACTTCACTTTGCACACACACACGTGTCTCTGCAACGTCTGTGTCAGCGCAGCGCGTTTTCTCACTCGAGCATGTGGATATTATTGTTTTTCTCAACATGAACGTGAAACAATATAAACACGATAATCATGCTTACTCGAGTATGTACGTTCTGTACGATAACTGCGCAGTCTGCTTTTTTTAGCGTTTTTTTCCCGTTCACGCTGCTTGAGCTTAAATGCTTTTGCTGTTTATATTTTTTGTTTACACATATTGTTTAATGTTTTCAACTAAAAGAAAACCTTAAGATATATAGTAAGCTTGTTGTGTATATTGCCTAATGTATAAGCTTGTTCAGAAATAATGACAAAAGCCTTAAACTTAAAAAAAAAAAATAACGTATCTCTCGTTAAACGACATTTAAATTTAAACCCAGAAGTCTGTCCCAACCACCTCCGCATTTAGTTTAATCTTAACTTTTTACTTTACTTTACTTACTAGCTCCCTCCTCTTTCAGTCTATGCTCCCTGCTCTGGCTCCATTCGTTCTTCATCTTCCTTGTGTTTTCTGGTGGACGGACGCTCCGTTCGTTTCCATGATCATTTCTCGCGCTGGTTTCACTGCAAACTGCGCGCGCAGCCAATGGGCGTATGAAACGTCATCACGTAGCATTACGGCACAGTGTTCAAGGGAAATGTAGGAAGTACGGCCAGGGGATAAATGACCGAGAACAGAGCCTTATGGCGCTTTTCCATTACCAGTACCAGCTCGACTCGACTCGACTCGCCTTGGCTCGCCTCGACTCGGCTCGCTTTTCGCTCCGTTTTCCATTGCAGAAAGTACCGCCACAAATAGTACCCGGTCGTCATAGCGACGCATTTCGTTCCTCGTTGCCCCATCAAGCTCTCGCTGGATCCTCTCTTCGGCAACCAAACAAAGGAATGTCTGCACCTCCTCGTTTGACCACGGCGTATTCTTCCGAGTTGCCATAATAATAGTAGTAAGTTTAGTAACTATCTCTGGCCAAACTATTTAAAATACTCCATCTGGCGCGTGCAATGATGACGCAGATTCTCTGTGACCAATCAGCAGTCGGTATTGTTTTCACGTCACATTTTAGTATCGTCTTAGCTCGCCTCAGCTCGCTTGGGGACATTCTAAAACGCTTAACGTGAAAAACGCTTAACGTGGCTTACTGCACTAAGACAGTGATATTAAAAGACCAAACTCAGTACACATCATATTAATAAACCATACTATGTATAAAATAATAAGATGAGTCCAAAATATGAACGCAACGCGTTTAATTACACGTTAAGCATTTTCTTCCCATAGAAAACCGTTATAAGAAAACGCTTAACGTGGCTTACTGTACTAAGACAGTGATATTAAAAGACCAAACTCAGTACACATCATATTAATAAACCATACTATGTATAAAAAAATAAGATGAATCCAAAATATGAACGCAACGCGTTTAATTACACGTTAAGCATTTTCTTCCCATAGAAAACCGTTATAAGAAAACGCTTAACGTGGCTTACTGTACTAAGACAGTGATATTAAAAGACCAAACTCAGTACACATCATATTAATAAACCATACTATGTATAAAAAAATAAGATGAGTCCAAAATATGAACGCAATGCGTTTAATTTCACGTTAAGCATTTTCTTCCCATAGAAAACCGTTATAAGAAAACGCTTAACGTGGCTTACTGTACTAAGACAGTGATATTAAAAGACCAAACTCAGTACACATCATATTAATAAACCATACTATGTATAAAATAATAAGATGAGCCCAGAATATGAACGCAATGCGTTTAATTATTTTCTTACCATATCCATTATAGAAAATGCGATGTGGCTGGACACCCATTGATAAATGGGTTATCAATGGGTAACCACGTTAACCACGTTTAGCCACGTTAAGCGTTTTCTTATAACGGTTTTCTATGGGAAGAAAATGCTTAACGTGAAATTAAACGCGTTGCGTTCATATTTTGGACTCATCTTATTATTTTATACATAGTGGTTTATTAATATGATGTGTACTGAGTTTGGTCTTTTAATATCACTGTCTTAGTACAGTAAGCCACGTTAAGCGTTTTCTTATAACGGTTTTCTATGGGAAGAAAATGCTTAACGTGTAATTAAACGCGTTGCGTTCATATTTTGGACTCATCTTATTTTTTTATACATAGTATGGTTTATTAATATGATGTGTACTGAGT